GGTAGCCCTGCCCCCTCACTCTTGGGCAGCAGCTATGGCTCCATCCCACTAGCTCACATGAGCAAGCAGCTCCACACTCCAGAACCAAGTTGATGAAGGTCTAACTCTTTGAAACCTAGAGCGCTGTGATGGTTCCACCCCCAAAGGCCATGGTCCTTCCTTTTGAGGCTGAGGCAGCTCTGCTTCCTGTTTCCTTAGTCTCTCCACTTCTGCCCATTAATGCCAAAGGCAATCCACTCTGCAAGAAATCTTCCTGCCCCAAAAGTTCTCAGCTCTCTTGCGCTGTGGGCTGGCCAACCTGCTACTCCACTTCATGTCAATCTTTTCTACCAATTAATGCCCAAAAGACAACCCACTCCATCAGGAAGCAGCCTACACAATGGCATCCAGCTTTCTCCTCCATGGGCGGCTAAGGCTGTTGCTGTCTCCTGCCAGTCTCTGGGCTCTGCTGCCATCTCTCATGCTGGTTTTCTTGGCTCTGCTCCTGCTGTCTCTCATGCTGATCTCTTAGCTCTGCTCCTGCCATCTCTAATGCCACATGCTGGGGTCTCTCTGCCAGGGTCTCGGGTCAAGGATGTACTCCACTCCTGTTTCCACATTTTAGGTATCTGTCAGAGCAGCGCCCCACTCTCTCGGTACCATATTCTGTTCTAGTTACCTAGTGCCACTCTGACAAGAATATACCACAAATGGATGGCCTTAACTTCTCTTACAGTTCAGGAGGCTAGAAGTCCTTGTTCAAAGTGCCAAGCTCTAGAGGCTGGGTGAAAGCCCCTCAACCTTGAGCTTCAGCTCTGCCTCTTGCTCACTAGGTAACCAGAACACCATGTATCAGGATGTTATTTCTCTTTGTGGCTGAGTAATAAATACTCTATTGTATGAATAGACCATATTTTGTTTATCCATTCATATGTTGGTGGATGCCTGTTATTTCCTGAAAGTGTGCTTTTTAAAAAAAAAAAAAAAAGTCTTTTTAGTTTATTTTTTGAAATATGTGCAGCAGAATTTACACCAATTCAACAACTTCTACATGTACAATTCAGTGACATTAATTACATTCTTTTAAGTTGTGTAGCCATTCTTGCCCTCCTATTCTAAAGTTTTCTCTTTGATATTTTGAGTTGCTCTTGTCAATTTGATTCCAAACAGAAAGATCTTAAAAGAGCACAATGCTCAAGGCAGATAGTCTTTACTAGTTAAGCTAGACTATTGTTTGTTGTAAAGAATACTTCAGGAGATATATTTGTCTTAAGGTTTAAAGACTATTTCAAGGCAGTAGTTTGATGGGTTCATCTAGCCTCAATGGCTCTAGAAAATCTGGATTTTATGAGAATTTGAAATTCTGTTCTGCATTTTCACTCTTTTAATCTTCTATAGAATCTTTGATCAAAATGTTCTGTAATGGTGGCTGGACATCATCCAATTCTTCTGGTCTCATGGCAAATGAGGGAGTTGTTCGTGGAAGCAAGTAGCCACACATTCCATTTCTAAAGGGATGTTTTAATATGAAATAATTTTTCATCAAGAAGCCAATATTAGATAATCTTTCAGTATGCAAGTATCAGGTCATCCTTTATTAAGTATTTGTTGAATCAGTGAATATTTACTGAGAATATATTTTTGTGCAATATCTAGGTACTGGATAGCAAGCAGTTTTTATTTCTCCAATGCTTTGAACATAACCAAAGTCTCTGCTTTCCTGGAGTTTCCATCTTTCTATAAAATGCTGCACAGAGCTTTGTTTTTCATATTTAAAAATCGATGGTCTCCAGCTTAAGTAGTTCTAGAAAGAAAGCATATATGGTAGTTAAGGTTGTATGTCAACTTGGCTGGTCCATGGTTTTGAGTCCTAGGCAGCTGAAATATAGTCATTCCTCATAATTACAATATTGTAATCACCTCTGCAAAAACGGCAAGGAGGCCACATGTTCTGACCTCCTCTAATCCCACAAGAGGAAGACAGGATTACCAGCAGTAACCCAAGGCCTATTACTGCAAGGCCAGACATGCTGCCTCCCTCCAGCCCTTTCACCAACCGTTCCTCCCAAAGCACCCACCACCTCTCTCCTGGGTTCAATAATTCGCTGCAGTGGCCACACAGAACTCACGGATTATGGGATTTATTAGGGAAGCACCAGGCTACAACTCAAGTTCAGGAAGAACGCTCAGTCTCTCTCCCAGCCCACCGTCCCTCAGCCAAGAGTCTCTCACAGTCTCTTTCCCAGCAGTGCTGGTCCCTCGGTGTCTCACTCAGCAATGCATGTCTCTTTCCCAGCAGCACGTGTCTCTTTCAGGGGCGCATGACTCTTTCGGCAGCATGTCTTCCTCCACCAGCAGTCAGAGAGAGTTCTGCCTCCAGGAGGCCTCCTTTTGAGCCCGGAAGGGTGGTCAAACTAGCCAATCACAGCATCAGAACTCTAAGCACGTGAGAAAGAGTGGGAACCTCCCAGAACATTGTATTGTGCCACGCCCAACAGAAATAACCCAGGTGGATAGCTCCTCAGTTGCTCATAGAAAATCCCACCTTGGAGTTTACAAAGACTTATGGATAGAAAAGCCACACTAAGTAATTTACTACACTGCAACCTGCATGGTAGAATCTGCTGTGAATAACTAAGTAGTTATCTTGGCGGTGTGGCCTTCTTCTAGTATATAAGGAGAAGCTTTGAGAAAATTATCTAGCTTTCGGGCATATATGGATTCTGCATTTGGCTCAGTCACCAGGAGCCTGCAGTGTTGCTTGCTGATCTTGAGACTGTTCCTGGACTTGAACTAGTGGCCTGCCATGTTACCTGTTAATCTTGGGACTGTACCATTTTACCTGCTGACTTAGTTTTGTCAGCCTCAGTAACTAGCAGCTGTCTGAGTTAGGAGACTGCCAAAGGTGCAAGGAGGCAGCAACTTCTGACCTCCTCTAACTACACAAGAGGATGACAGAATCACCATCAGCAGCCTGAGGCCTGTTTCCATGAGGCAAGACATGCCGCAACCCTCCAGCCCTCTTACTAACCTTGACACCAACTGTTCCTCCTGCGGCACGCACCACCTCTCTGCTGGGTTCGATAATTCCCTGCAGTGGCCACACAGAACTCACAGATTAAGGGGTTCATTAGAGAAGCAGCAGGCTACAATTCAAGTTCAGGAATGTGCTCAGTCTCTCTTAGCCAGCTGTCTCTCAGCAGCCAGCCATCTCTCTCAGTAGAACACCTTTTTGTCAGCAGTGCGTCTCTCTCTCAGCACGTGTGTCTCTCTCAGCCAGCAGTCAGAAAGACTCCTTCTGCTTCTAGGAGGGCTCCTTTTAAGCCTATCAGAGTGGCCAAACTAACCAATCCCAGCATCAGAATCCTATACACCTAAGAGAGCACAAACTTCCCAGAAGATTGCTTCCTGCCACTCTCAACAGAAATACCCCAGGTGGATAACTCAGTTGCTCATAGCAAATTCCACCACAGAGTTTACAAAAGGCTATGGCTTGAAAAGCCATACTATGTAATTTACTATGCTACAGAGACTCTCCAGCTCCAGTAGGCCTGGAATAAGTGGCAGAGCTGAAGCCCAAGGTTGAGGGGCCTTCACTCAGCCCGTAGAGCTGGCACTCTGAATTTGTACTTCTAGCCTCCTAAACTGTAAGAGAGTAAATTCCTGTTTGTTAAGCCTTCCACTTGTGGTATGTCTGGCATTTAACTGCTAACCAGAAGGCTGGTGGTTCAAACCCACCAGTCACTCCTCGGAAGGAAGATTGGCCAATCTACTTCCATAGTGATACTGCCTTGGAAACCCAAGGAGGGGTCGCTATGAGTTGGATCTGATTCCACAGTAGTGAGTTTGGTTTTGTTTTGTTTTTAGAGAACCAAAACAGCACATTAAGAGGTAGTGTTTCTCAAAGTAAATCTGTGAGCGCTAGTCAAGTGTTCTCTGGTCAGATAAATTGGGGACACAGTGCATTCTGTGTCTTGACCCTTCTACCTGGATATCCAAAACATTTAATGTATTAAAGGCTCAGAGTTCTCCTGCCATAAAAAATATCCTATTTGACTTTTTAAAATCTAGTAGTCCCCTAATTTATTTGACCATGAAATCCATTTTTTTTCTCTTAACATCTGTTAATATCCAGTGAAATTAGTTTTCCATGAATAGATTTTGGGAAATTCTATTACAAGGGAGTGGCTCTGAGGAAAAGCTAAAGGTTTCATATGAGAAAGAGCAGCAAAGGTGTGTAAAGGTATGATTTCTAACAGCATATTAGAACAGGAATGTTAAATTAGAGTGGTTTCAATTGTATGTGTGGAGGAATTTCTTGACTATGAGGCTGATTAAAGTCTGGAACCAGCAAGGTTATAGAAGTCATTGTTATGGAAGGTTTATAAGTAGTCTTTGTTAGGGGATGGCTCATTCATAACCTTGCCTGTAATTGTGGCCTATTTCTTTTATAGAAAAATCATCATCATTTATTTATTTATTTTCTTAGTCACAGGTACATTTCTTTTCTTGACTGTAATATTTTTAAGATTATGGCTATGCATTCCTGTCCTCTGAGCTATCTCCCCGTGAAAATGCTGCCCTTCTGTTCTGTCATGGTTGATTGTACTAAGGAGTGTAACTACCAGGTGTAAATGTTCACCTTATATGCCTGTCTATTGTTTGGCAGGAAACCATGGGAGTGAGTTCAGTTCTGGGCCAAAGGGTGGCTAGGGGCTATAGGCCAGTGTCTATCAGTTCAGTAATCCTGGTCTTTTTTATGATTTTGAATTTTGTTCCACAGTTTTGTCCCACTCTATCCAGGGTCTCCTACACTGATCCCTTTCCAAATGGTTGACAGTCGTAGCTGGTTACCATCTAATTCTTCTGGCCTCAGGGTACAATCTCGACTTAAGAAACATGACTTTTGTCTGTTATACTAGGATAAAGTCAAGATTTTCTTGAGATTATAATATGATAACAATAATTATAATAATCTTTTGCAGATGTAATGCACTGACCATAACTTCTTTCTTTTACAGGTATGATTTTTAATGAACGTGATCAGGAATTGAGAGACTTAGGCTATCAGAAACATGCCTTTAATATGCTTATTAGTAACCGCCTGGGCTACCATAGAGATGTGCCAGATACAAGGAATGCAGCGTATGTTCCTTACTAGCTTCTGTTCATACTTTTTAATAACACCCTGCCTTTCATACCACTCACACCAAGTCCAAGGGTGGTATTAGTAATTTGCAGTTATGCTTCATCCTTCAGCATGCTAGAAACTATAAGACTGATTTCCTTCTCATTTCCTTCTCATTATACTTCTCATTTCCTACTCATTTTACTGGTCTGAGATTGTACTAACAAAGTTCTAGAGCTTGCTGTGTCTCCTTTAAAATTTCAAATCATGAAAGAAAGAGGACAGAGATGCTAATTGCATATAAGTAAATAATCTGACCTATGTTTGTTTTAATTTTTCTTTTATTGGATCCATGGCAAAAAAGTAATGAAAGTCAGTGAGGAATGTTCTCATAATCTCACCATTCTTATTTTCATTATTTCTTTTCCATTATTTTTTTGTTCCCTTCTAAGGCTTTTATTATAGTCATTCATTTAGTCATTCTACAGACAGATGTTTCTTGGGCACCTTCTGTTTGCTAGACCCTGTGTTAGACCCTACAAGGAAACACAATAAGACATAGACCCTGGGCTCATCAGGCTGACGTTAGCAGGGCAGGCAAGTAAGTCAACAAGTAATTGCAGTATCACCTGAATAAGACCTGTAATAGGAATTGGTCAGATGAGAGCACAAAAAACAGAGTGGTTAGGGAAGGTGTCACAGAAGAGCAGTGATTCAGGGAAGTCTTTTCCATGTATATGGAACAGCACCTGAACAACACTGCGGCATAAAACTGTGGGGTTTTTTTAAGTGACCAAAATGTAGTTCACTTTGGCTGTAGTAGTGGGAAAATGGCAAGAGGCTGTTAAGTAGGTAGGGCACAGGTTTTGGATTTTGTTAATGGGTTTTGTTGTTGTTTAAAGCCACCTAAATCTTTTTATCAAAAAGTTGCTTATATAGCACTTCTTCCTTAATCTTGATATATCATAGTTTACATAAATCTTGTTCTATTATTTTGCAAAAACTATAATTTTCAAATATAAAGTTTTATATTTCTGTTCTTTTGAGACATCATTGGAGATAAGCTGGACATCAGCCTACAAGTGTTGCATTAAAAACTGTAGTGATTTCAGTAAAAATATTACAAAAATAATAATACACACAAAACAAATTAAGTTTCAAAATAAGCAGGATGGCAAGTATATGAGGGAGAAATTATTAACAACATATAAAATACTTGAATAAGAAACTATGTTGTTTACTTAAATGCTTTAAAAGAAAAATTTTATCCCTAATGTAAAGGAAGAGGCTGGATATGAAACATTTGAACCTCTTTAAATGTCAGAATTTTCTCATATTTATCTTTGCAGATGTAAAGAAAAATCTTATCCAACTGATCTTCCAGTTGCTAGTATTGTTATCTGTTTCTACAATGAAGCGTTTTCTGCCCTGCTCCGAACAGTGCACAGTGTCATAGATCGGACTCCAGCACGCCTTCTTCATGAAATCATTCTGGTGGATGATGATAGTGATTTTGGTAAGGAGCATTGTAACTGACCATACTAGATCTAGGTTCATCTTTCATAATAGTATTGACAGACATTCAGAAAGCAAACTGTTCAAATACATAGTAAAGATGACTCTTAAGCATACAGTTGTACCTGAGGCAACTACAAATAAATGCTTATTCTTTGAATATTTTATAATTCTGAAGAAACTGCCTTACATTTATAATCTGTTTACAAGTTATGCTACTCAAATTTAGTCCTAGAAATTTTTCCCTTGGCTTTCCTTTTTTAAAAACTCTGTCTCTCTCTCTCTCTCTCTCTCTCTCTCCCCATATATATATATATGTTGTACTCATATGTACCAGGCACTGTCCGAGTGCTGCCCATATATGAGCAATACAAGGAAAGTAGACTGAGATGCAGAGAGGATAAATTAGGTGTTCAGGGTCACACACCTTGGAAGGGAATGGAACCAGAATTCAAATCCAAGTACTCTGGCTCCAGGACCAGGCTTTACCCACTCTGCTATACTCCTTCCCTAATACTTTATTATCTTTTAAAATTTATTTTGTTGTTTTTGAGAATATACACAGCAAATCAAAAGGGAGGAAATACATAGCAGAAATTCAAATTCTCATGGAATCCAGATGTTCTGGAGCCATAGGGGCCATGGGGGCTGGATGAATCCCTGAAACTATTGCCCTGAGATAATCTTTAAAACTTAAACCAAAAATATTCCCTATAGTCTTCTTAAAATCAAAATATAGTTTAGAGCTTCGGTAGCATAGTGCCTAAGGCATTTGACTGCTAACCAGAAGGCTAGTGGTTCAAACCCACCAGCTACTCCTTGGAAGGAAGGTTGGGTAATCTACTTCCATAGTGATACTGCCTTGGAAACCCAAGGAGGGGTCATTATGACTCAGATCTGACTCAACGGCAATGAATAAACTAGTAAAAAAAATGTCTGCCTTAAGCATTAGTTTAACAACAATCGATATGGGATCAAAGTGACAACTGCAACTAGAAAGATTAGATAGGAAACTTAGGGATCAATGAGATTATGTTAGTGGGGAAGGAACAACTCCAAAAAGGAGGGTGAGAATAGTTGCACAACTCGAAGAATGTAATCAATGTCACTGAATTGTACCTGTAGAAATGGTTGAATTGGTGTATGATGAATCTTTTTACAAACAGCTTTATTGAGGTATAACTGACATACAGTGAACTGCAGAGGTTTAAAGCATACAATTTAGTAAGTTTTGACATGTGAATATACCCATGAAACCATCACACAATCAAGGTAAAGAACGTATCCATCAGCCCCCTAAATTTCCTCAGGCTCCTCCTTCATGTGATCTCTACTTCTCTACTAGCCATCCCCTCATCTGGGAAATCCTGATCAACTTTAGTATTGATTAATTTACATTTTCTAGAATTTTATATACATGGAAGCATATAGTGCGTACTTTTATTTTTTTAATCTGTTTCCTTCACTTAGCATGACATGAGATTCATCCACGTTTATAGTGAAATGGCTGGGCCATACAGTAGCTATATGTTTTGAGCCATTACCTTTTAAATTAAGGAAGTGTTGAACCAATGTCTGGAGTTGCCAGCAAAAAGCACAGATTAGATTCACCGGCAAGATGGTGGACTAGGCAGAAAGACTGCACAGACCCTCTTCAACAAAGAAAAGGGAAACCAATTAACACAGATACATAAGATGATCCTGGACCCTTGAGCATGGAAGGGAAGGATATAGAAGTGGACTAAACCACAACTAACAGAAGAATTAGCATGAAAATACCAAAAAAAGGAGACATAGCTGCGGTCTGGCAGCAATCCTGATGGCACAGACAGCTTGGACATTCCCGAGTGGTGGTAGGAACTAAGAATTAACCAAAAAAATCAGTCCTGCTAGCCAGGGACTGCAAGGAGGACTGTGCATGGTGGCTGGGGAATAAATGGAGAAGGTGAAGAGAAAGGCGGGCTGAGCTGTGGACGTTTGCTGGTCCAGAGGACGCTGCCATTTTAAGGATTAAACACGGCTTGACTATTTTGGATATTTAAATAGACAGCGCTCTGGCAGATTCCTGGGGCTTGAGACACGTTCTGCTTTCCAGCAACCCCAAGGACACTCCGGACCCGCAAAACTGAAAAGTTTTTTGATGGTTATTCAGTTGTAATTTGTGTCTAATTGAGTGGGAGATAACAACAGTCCCCATAAGACACAACTACACCCATACCTCCTGCAACTTCAATTACTGAGCGAGAGCCACTACCTCCTTCTCCACCAATGGGCCAACAATAAAAAGCTACCAAGAAAAGCCTGAATCACCCTTGGATGCTCTTCACAAACTGTTAACAGAGATCTAAATACAACAATGCCATGATGCCTTGGAGACAACAGACCATCGCAGTCCACAAAAAGAAACAGGACAAAGTTGTAGAAACAAGGGAGCAGGATACAGACCCAGAACACATCTCTGAGGAAGAAGCAGCATGGGAACTCTGATAAGGAATTCAAAAGAATTATCTTTAGGTGACTTCAAGATTGAGAGACAGACCAAAGAAAACACAGAAAAAACCTTAGAAGAATTTTGGAAGAAAATTCAAGAACAAAATGACAAAGTAAGTGAAAATTAGAAATTATACTAAATCTGGTAGCATAGTGCCTAAGGCACTTGACTTTTAACCAGAAGGCTGGCGGTTCAAACCAACCAGCCACTCCTCGGAAGGAAGGTTGGACAATCCTACTTCCATAGTGATACTGCCTCGGAAACCCAAGGAGAGGTCGCTATGAGT